ACTTGGTTTTCAGAAGTTCATTCTTGTTAATTGAATTGGAAAAAGTTCTGTAGCCTAACAATGGGGATTGTTTATTGCCAGCCTATATTCATAATGCAGACCAATGTACTGTAAGTAATATCTAAAATCTTGCCACTGTGAATAAAACTAAAGTATGTCAAGCTGGTTTTATTATTGATGTTTCTAACATAATTTACAAATTTGCCTCATAAAGTGTTCCTCTCAATTCAGCAAGCTGTTCTTGCACATGCTGTTCTAAGTACATCTGCATTGCATGTTTTGATTATTTAGCAAGGAAGTTAATTAAACTTGATGAGGTTGAATGACATATGAAAATTTTCAGTTGTATGATACTAAATACTTTCAGTGGGATGCATGACATCTCAAAAGCTGTTCTTCAGCTTCATCATTGAGTTAAATAGGTTTTATTTCCCAGATAGTTTGCATAAAGTTGCAACCTAAGCAATTAGAAGAGGATCCTTACAATTTAAAAACGGATACTTCCATTTGTATACAAATTATTTTAGGAATGGGAGCTACGTTGTTAAAGTGAGCAAAGCTCTAGCTCCTTTTTATGTCATGGTTGCACTTATATGGAAAGCATGTTTTGTTTTCACATATGCCTTATGATTTTAAAATTAAGAAAACTGTTCCTTCCACCCTGTGGCGTTGCAATTAAAAATATACATGCTGTGTCGAAATGCACACCAAATTGTTTGGGTAAAGGTGCCCATAACTGCCATACGTCAGAATAAAAGGGATTAGAAGATGAGGCAGAGTTTGCAGTGGGAGTAAATAAATACATGCTATTTTCCCTGAAAAATCTCCAGTATAGAAAAGATGATATTTAGTTATGGGAGGGGTATCAAACTCACGGGCTGTGGGCCGGATGCATCACGTGCTTAAACAATGTTGTTTTTTGACCATTTCAGTGTTTTCCCATTCTTTACCACTTTTGATTGTAGGCTTTTGTAGGACAAGTACCCTATAGGCATTGACTCAAACACTTTTGACAAGCAGTAGCCAGCCAAGCTTCCCAGCTCTTAAGAGGTGCCATGTTTTTCCGTCTTGCCATTATCAGTGGAGGGGTTTCAGTAATGCAGTTCTGCTTTTCCATATGCATTTTTTGTGACTTTAAGTCAATTTTTGACTCCTGGACAAGTCCCTGCAAGTTTTCTTGGCAAGATTCCAGTGTTAAGTTGCATCAATTGAAGAGGCGGGACTCCAGCTAGTGAATAACAGCTCTTTATTGAGTAGACTAATACATAGAAGTAAATTGGGTGTCCGGCAGCTGCCTCTTTTAAAAGGAGCTGTCAGGCAGCTCAGCCACTGAGATTCCTCCAATTTTCTGCCTGGAAATTGGACCAATAAATTTAAACTATTACTTTTCCCACCTGAAAGGTGGACATGAGTGAAGTTTTCTATTCAAGACTTCACTGCTCATTAACACATTTAACATTCCAGAAGTCCTTTATCATTGCCTCCTTCCTAGGGCTGAGAGAGAATAACTGGCCCAAGGTGGCTTTGTGGTCACAGCTGGCATTATGCCCAAGGTGGGGCTAGAACTCACAGTCTCCTGATTTCTAGCTTAATGTCTAATCACAACAGCAGATATTTTACAGGATGGACTTTCTCATGCAGAGCTGTATTCTGCTTAATGACACTTCGTGAATCTCTCAGAATCAGCTCAATTCATATCTCACACCAACCCACAGATCAAGAAATAGAAACTATAAGCTGCATTCACACATTGTCTTTTGTCAGACCAAATAAAGTACATTATGACTGGTTTAGTGGATTCTGAACCCTATCAACATCACAGAGAACATTAGGGAAAAAAGCACTGAAAGGAGTGGTAGGTAATTTCTGTGATAGCTGTTCACAACCTTTTTTTTGTTTCTTTTTTTCTCCGGATACAATAGACTATAACATCCATTTATAGAAGTGTCAATGAAATGCAAAGCACAGTGCTTCTGGGAAATATATACAATGATAATACTGTAAGGTTCCAGAAGTTTCCCCAGCCACTGAGATGCCAAAGAGATTGAGACTTGAGACAAGACTTGCAAAAAGAACAGCTTTTTTATTCTTTGGCCAAAGCAAAAAGTCTGGGTAAATACTATATCCAAATCATACAGACAAAATGCATGTAAGAAATAGCCACACCCTGCGAGAGTGGTTCAGAATATTATATACATTTTATGCTGATAGAAACAAAGTTTATCCAATCAGAGACAAACGTTCATTATTCTATGTGGGCAATGTCTTGCCCATACCCTCCCCACCTTTATCCACAAAGTGTTCTTTGTCCATGCTCTGTCCATGCTTTGTCATAGTATCCCTTGTCCTTGTGTGTTCGTGATCCTAGGAGCAGGACGTTCCTGGGAATTGTCTCCAAGGATGTGCCTAGCTCTGAAGCAAACTGCAGAAACGAGAAACCAGATAGAAAAGGATACAATTCTCTTACAGAATGAATTCCTAACAAATGATTCCCAACCTTAGCAAAATAATACAAGCAACTTCTTTAACAGAAGCAAAGAACAAAGGTTAGACTGACTCCCTTCAATACAATAATGATGATGATGAATGTTTTTGAATCATTTTTGAATGTTCAGTTGACTGAGTTTCATGCTTAATGAGTAAAGTATATAATAATAATAAAAAGTATTTAAAGCAGAAGCTTTTGGCATAAAACTATAGGCCAGTTGCGCGCGTGACCACCCCTCGCATGCTGTGTGTCTGTGCATGCAAGTGAGATTCCCCCTTCATGTGCCACACATCTGCACATGCGTGCATGATTCCCTGTGCACCTGCACGTACAATTCCCCCTCATGCGCCACACATCTTTGCGGATGTGCTTGTAATCCCCTCGTGTGCAGTGCATCCCTGTGCATGCATGCATGTCTCCTGTACACCCCCTGCCCCCTGTGCATGCATGCCAGATACCTGACAATCAGCTGTTGGGCAGCGGCGCACATGCGCATGTGCAGTGGTGCTCTTCCGGGAGACCTCTTGCATGCCGGGGGCAGTGGCTCTGTGTGCCACTTCCACACGTGTGGCATAGGTTCGCCAACCCAGCTTTCCTCAATTGGACTCTCACACCTCCAAGGTACAAGAAAACTTCATTGTCCTTGGACAAAACACTAGATACAATCATGAACATCAGGTGGTCTAAATGATGGGATTCAAATTTCTTAACTGGTTCTGTGGGTGTGACCTAATTTGTGGGTGTGGCTTGGTCATGTGACTTTGTGGGCTTGTTGACTGGACATGGCTTGGTGGTCATATGACTGGGTGGGCATGGCTTGTATGTAAATATTATAAATATTTATGTAAATTTTGAATTTTTTTTATAAAAATAGAGCAACTTTTACCCAAAAGCAGGCAAAGCAGGCAGGCAGGCAGAGTTGCTCACAGAATCACAGATTCACTTAGAGATCTATCTATCTGCAATCGGCTACCTGAGTCTGCACTGAAAAGCTTCAGTCCTAAGGAAGGTTTGGCTCTGCTTTTAGATTAGCTAGAAAGCAAGAATCCAAGGATTTCCTGCTTTCTAGCTAATCTAAATCTCCCAGCAGAGCAGAACAGCTGATGGTCGGGAAAAAAAAAAGAAAAATAGCAACTTAACAAACCAGGCAAGTTGGATGTCAGCCTTCAAGATCTTCTACTATTGCTTTGCATCTTTTGGCTGCCATAAGTAATGGGGGGAGGATTGGGTAAATCTGGGAAGCGAACTGGAGGTGTTACATTCTAGTGTTGTATAAAATGGGGGGTGGGGGGAGAGTATAAATTCTTGCTTAGGTTTCTATTTCTCGCTTAGCTTTCTTTCCTCTGCGCAACTGCAAACCTTTATCAAAATATGCCAAGGTCAACGGACAGAGGCCTCATCACCACCTGAAGATGTCCACATGATCATATTCACAACTTTTAATTGGAAGAATCATTTGAACTTTTGGGGGTGGGAACATTTCCATCACTTTGTATATGGGATTTGTGCACCTAATTCCTCAGATTCAGAATTCTATGATTTCTACCACTTCGTTTTCAGTAAAAGGTATCTTTTCTCTAATATAAGGAGTCTAAGTATTTCTTTCTTGAATTTTGAATGGAGTACCACCCGACATTGGATGGCTCACATGCCAGCTAAGGAGTGAGTGGGCGGGGAGGCCAGCCAGTGGAGCAATTTGCCAGTTCTCCGAACTGGCGACAATCGTGTGTGCAGTGTTTGCAAGAAGCCATCAGCTGTGTTGCCTGGACAGCTGACAAGTGCTGCACAGCATTTGAAAATCCTCGTTTCTTGTTTTTTCAGCCTCAGCCGTGCCACGCAAAGCAGCTGAGGAAAAGTAGGGAATAAATAAAAGCAGGGACAGCCTAGAGGCCGGGCAGGCGGGTGGGCCAAATACGGAACCAGTTCGGTGTCAGCTGCTCTTCGCAGCTACAGGCTGAACTGGTAACATTTTAGCCTTAGTGACATGATAGCAGCATTCCAAATCTCACAAAGAAGTCAAGCTATTCTTCAAAGCACCTGTGAGCAGGACAAGAATCAATGGATGGAAACTAATCAAGTAGGGAAGCAATCTAGGAGAAATTTCCTGAAAGAACAATTAATGAGTGGAACAAGTCTCTAGAAGTTGTGAATTCTCCAACACTGGAAGTTTTTAATAAGAGATAGGACAATATTTGTCTGAAATGGTATAGGGTCTCCTGCCTGAGCAGAGGGTTGGACTGGAAGACCTCCAAGGTCCTATCCAAATCTGTTTATTCTATTCTATTCTATTCTATTCTATTCTATTCTATTCTATTCTATTCTATTCTATTCTATTCTATTCTATTCTGTGTCCTGTATTATGTTGGTTACAGTTGGTACAATGATACCATGCTGTTTCCTGATACACTGCATTCCCATATCTATTAAATAAGAGTCCATCTACCATGCAGATCAATATTTGAAAACTGCTGTACAAGGTTGAATAATTGAGCAGCATTTGTGAGCCTATAAATACCAACAAGTTGCTTGAAAGTACCACTGTTATGCTTGTAACTATCTGCTCTATCTCTTTTCCTCCAGATTCAAGTTCTCAGGAGACAGAGTGTGGTCATGTCATCAGCTGACTTCCTGTATGAAGATAACTTTACTGAATACATTGAAGATTATGAGGAAGATGAGCTACCCCAGGCCCAGGCCTACCTCAGTCATGCACAAATTGCTTCTCTAGTGCTACAGATGATGGCTTTTCTCTTAGGAGTACCTGGCAATGCAATAGTTATTTGGATCATGGGCTTCAAATGGAATAAGACAGTTACATCCATCTGGTTTCTCAACTTGGCAATTGCAGACTTAATATTTGTTTTGTTCCTGCCCCTATATATTGCATATGTCATCATGGGCTTCCACTGGCCTTTTGGGAAATGGCTGTGCAAAGCAAATGCTTTTATATCCTTGCTCAACATGTTTGCCAGTGTCTTCTTCCTGACAGCAATCACCCTTGATCGTTATGTCCATCTGATCCACCCTGCCTTCTCCTATAGGCATCGGACACTTGGGAATGCCTGTATCCTGGTTCTACTTATTTGGGTTTTGGCTACAGTTCTTGGAAGCCCAGCACTGTATTTCAAAGACACACTTACATCACTCCAAAATGTCACCATATGCTATTACAACTTTCACCATGACTTTGATATTATTGCATTCAGACATCACACACTTACATGGATAAAGTTCATTTGTGGCTATCTTTTTCCACTCTTAACTATGATTGTTTGTTATTCCTTTCTGGTCAACCAGGTTAAAAAAAGTACAGTAATAACTTCCAGCAGGCTCTTCTGGACTATTCTTGTGGTGGTGATGGGATTTTTTATTTGCTGGACTCCATATCAAATATTTAGCATTCTGGAACTGTCAGCTCATCATAATGCCTCTTTGCATGACTTGCTTGAAAATGCCATGCCTCTTTCTATTGGCTTTGCCTTCATTAACAGTTGCCTAAACCCTATCCTTTATGTCCTTCTCAGTAAGAAGCTTTCATTCTGCTTTAGTGTGACATTCTCAGACTTGGTCAAACACACCCTGTGGGAAGTCAGCCAATCTGCAACTATGAGCGATCATGGTCAGAATTCCCTGAGTCTGCAGTTGACTGAAGTCCCAGTGATAGAACACCCTCTTGAGGAAATTTTGCAATGACTGCATCTCTCTTTGTAAATTAAATTCAATTTATCACCAGATTAACATATAGTATGTCTGGATACAAATAAGTAGACGAGCATGGTAGATAAGCTTTTTACAAATTCTGTTAAAGATCTCTAATTTTTCACAGAGCTCACAGAGCATATATGACTCCTTTGGTTCCTGCCTCAACTCCTATCAGTCAAATAGTAATGAATGTTAATGCAACTGAGAATGATGGAAATGTATGGTTGAAGGCCCCAACATATTGCTTGCAGGTATAACTCAAATAATTCAAAGCTTCGGCAATTAGACATTTTCACTAATTATCCTTTAGGAGTTATAGGGGAGTAATTTCAGACTGGAAAGGCAGAGCAATATAGAATAATCTTTGCTTTTCTATCAGTTTCAACTTTGTGAACTTTTCTAGGCTGAGGTTAGAAATGTTAGCAAGGGAAACACAAGAAGAAGAAAAATTAAATATAAGATTTTGAAGTACATTCTGTATCATAGTATTGCCTTATTTTCTATCATTCCTGAAAAATAAAAGGGGGATAATAAATAAAAGTGGGGAATTCAGGGCAGACTAATAATCCTGTGCTATAAATGTATGAGGAAGTAATATTTTCTCTTATGCTTTCTAAAATGCACTGTTTACAGTAATATGGTATGGTATTACATTATAGTACTATAGTAATACAGTACTATATTTGCCATGCTTGTAGTACTGAGGAAAATGTACAATGTAAGCACAAATTGATCTCTTCTTTTGTTACAGTTGCTTGGATATAGGCATTTACATATATTAAAGAAATATCCTTCCCCTATTTGTTGGATAATTTTTGCCTTTATTCCACATCTGTTGGACCTTTCTTTTGAGCCATCCCCATACTAACGTTGCTCCTACTATGAAAATGTTCTGAAACAATTCAAAACTGTCCTGAAGACATGTTCATCACTATGGAGTTCAAACTACTGGGAACATGCATGAAACATCATTAACCAGACAGTGTGTGTCTCTGGGGTGGTATTCAGCAGGTTCTGACTAGTTCTGGAGAACTGGTAGTGGAAATTTTGAGTAGGTTGGAGAACCGGCAAATACCACCTCTGACTGGAGATTTTACAGTATCCTTCCCCTGCCACGCCCATAGAACCAGTAGTAAAAAAATTGAATCCCACCACCGGTGTGTCTCCATCTGATCAAAAGAGAATGCAGAGTTTAGCCAGTGTTCTGCTGCAAGCTACTCCAGAGCCCAGAACAACAATATGCCCTCTCTCTTCCACATGATGAATAACAAAAATAAAAGAAATTGCCGATGCCTTCTTTTCCATCATGCTTTCAATACATGCATTTATCTGGCTACAAGCATTAACAGTCAGCTGTCCTTTGTTTAAAATATGCGGTCCAGAAGCTAGAGTTAGGTAATATCAGAATTCTAGGCAATGAAAATGCAGAGCGCCCACAAGCTCTGCTGAGACATAACGTGGCAAGCAATATACCAACTTTGTCCTGTTTTTAAAAAACTGCTAGTAAGCTGCTCCTTTCCCAAACTCAATCCTTATATGATACCAGAATGAGTCTTCATGTGGAAGAGCCCTGTTCACCAGTAGTTTGCTTCCTTGGCAACTCTTTCTTCAGTAGATGCCACACATACATAAAGGCATAGAGATTTGATCTCATGGTGATGGCCACCATATCTTTTTACCGCCCTCTTGCAGGTGATCTGTGTGCTCTTTGTCTTTTGTCTTTATTGCAGTAAGAATCATAGAAGAGGTACTGATTTCATCAGGACTTCACTGCTTAGGATTGCATCCTATATGCCCAGAACCATATTTCCATCCCATTTGCAAAAATAGCTTTTATGTGTGTATTTTCTCCATATTTTATTTCATGGAGAAGCATGGTAGAAAATGTCTGGAAATGTCCATTGTTAACCAAATCACTGCAATTGTTAAGCAAATCTGGCTCCTCCATTGACTTTGCTTGTTTGAAACTGGATGGGAAGGTTATAAATGGTGATCACATGAACCCCGGACAGTGCAACTGTCATAAATACATGCCAGTTGCCAAGCACCCACATTTTGATCTTGTGACCATGGGGATGCTGCAATGACTGTAATATAAAAACCATTCATAAGTCATTCTTTTTTCAGTGCCATTGTAACTTGCAAAGGTTACTAAACAAAAAATTTAAATTGAGGAATACCTGTATGCTGCCTGTTAATTCTAGGATGCAGTTATGTTCCCCAGTTTAAGATTTGGTATATTAAGGTTTGGTTGTCTTGTTCTCCTTAATCAATTTTAGATTGACTTAAGTAATATTTCAACAGATATTCAACAGATCAGTTTCTATTTTTTCATTTTATAGCAAATGTTCATCTTTTTTTTTTGTTGCTTCCCAAATTCCATTTTCCTGGAGAATATATACAGAGAATACATGTATAATTATCCTTGCAATTGTCCTTGAATAGAGTGGAAATGATAATAAATCCATGATTTGGAACACTATTTTGCCAAAATGAATCATTACTCAAAATTGCAAATGACACTGAGTATAAGAATGTCTTTGGAAAATCATAGATGCTTTGACTACCTATCAATTTGGACGATCCTATTCTACTATTGATGACAGGTGCTTTAATCCAACACCCAGAAAACCATGCTTGGAACTGGCTGGATTAGATTAACATTGTCATTGGTGCCTGAACTCAACATCACTACAAGTCAAGACTTGATGGATTATGATAAAATGTGATATACGATTCCAATCATAACCTAGGCTTCCTCAATCCAGTATCTTTCAGATATGTTGGGACTACAACTCCTAGACTTCCTCTCTTAATTCATGATATTCCATCAATAGATCACCCAGATAGCTATGAATTTCATCTTAGGGTATTCAGTTTTGAGAGATTCTATCCATTTGAATGCATATTTAAGCAAAGAGACATAATGGTAGAGGAGTTGTTCCAGAGCCCTTTCTTTCCACATATAGTATGATTGCCTCCCTAGTTATATACCATTTGAGTTAATTCAATCAATTGATCCTTGGTAGGTTGCTTAGTAGAAAGCTTTGGAAATATTTAAATGGCTTACTCATTTCTTAAATAAAAGAAAATCATCGGTGTCAATGTCAAACAATTGTATCGTTCAGATTGAAAGTATTGTTAATCATTTGTTTTATATCTTTCTGTTAAAGAGATCCATAAGTTTATACAATTTGCTGGGATAGATCTTTTTTTGAGGATTTTTTTTTTTGCTGTTTCAGGTCCCGGGGTGAGGGCACATGGGAGGAAGCCAACAAAATGCTGAAGCAGAGGCATTGCACCTGCTTTTCCATGTGACTCAACTCAGCACCTTCTTTTTAGAAAAACACCTAGGATGCTAACTTCCAACCCTCTTTGTCTGGTCAGTATGGTTATATGGTCTATAAACCATATAAGTACCAGTAAATAAAGGAATGAATGACTATATTCCCCCATTCCAAAAGAACAAAGTTTACTTTCATTTTAATTTTGCCGAGGTTCAAGTTGCCAAACCTAATGGTGGGGGGGAAAAACAGCTTCAAGAACATCCAAATAACCCTATGAGTAGATTTGGAGACAGGCAGCACTGACCATCTCACTGCACAAATAGAAGAGAGCTAACAATACTGCAGAAGATATGATAGAGAATTGGAGAAAATCACAAAATACAAAGACCTACAAATAAAACAACTATGTCAAAAGAAAGCAAAGATAGTACTAATACTAATAAGTGCCTCGAGTGCAACCACAAAACAACTGGAGCACCACTTCAACACCATTGACAAAATCACTGACAATGGCAAAAGGTAGCTTTTGCAATAACTTACTTAAAGACTGTAAACTAACAGGACTGCGCATTAATTGGTATTGACTGTAAACTAACAGGACAGTTAATCCATCCCACTAGGACAAGGTGTGCAGTCAAATGATACTCTTTTCTTTTTCAGTCTTCTTATTTAAGATTTCAAGTTCTCTTAGCTATCAGGGTATGAATAAGATTTAGATGGATGATACTGAATTAAGACCCGTTCCCTCCTCAGGGCATCTTTTAGATTTCTTTTGTTTACAGAACAGAAAAGCTGGAAATTTTTTCAAGCTAAATGATGTACCACTGAACAATATCCATTGGAATATTTGTGCCTTTAATTTCAACCATTTGTTTTGCTTTCACAGTCATTGAGAAACTTTATGCTTGGATTAATTTACAGCGATTTTAAGTGTATTGGATTTGAAATGTTCCAATGAAAATGCACTTGCAGTAGAGAACATTTACCAAAAGAATGTGCTCAATTATAATGTATTTGGAACCACCTACATGTAAAAGAAGCAATGGAATTAGAATCTCTACCTGCAGAGTAAAGATGATGACTTTGATGGAGATGTGCAGAAAGTTAAACAGTCTGAAGTATGCTATAATTCCAGAATTTTAGAGGTAGTATTTAGAAGTATCTTGGGCAAAAAACACCCTAATTGAGTATAAAGAAGAGCTCAGACGTGCAAGATTTTATTATTATAGCTGATTTCAATAAAAAATAATTTTAGCCTTCCTATGAAGTTGATTTCCTGGTGTACCTATAGGGCTGACACCACCTGTCTGATCACAACATTTGAAGTTCAGCTACTCAGTGTAAGATTTGAGTCCAGGAAACCATCTGCAACCAAATATTTCTAATATATCTAATCAGATGTGACATTAATTATATAATTAGTTCAACAACACTGGGGATGGGGGTAGCTTAACTAGCAGACCCCCCCAAATTCCCCAATAAGATACTCAATATTGTCATCAATCAAGATGAATCTACTGACTGTTTTGTCTATTTAGCTGTGAATTTCTACATCTTTCTGTAAAGACCCTTCCCTTAAGCCTGCCCCTAGAACAGTGGTTCCCAACCTTTTTTTCACCCCGCACCCCTAAAGAAATTTCACTCAAACCTCGCACCCCCTGAAATTTAGACTTTAGGAACTACTGAACACGTTAAATATATGGTAGGATTGAATCTTTTCAGCTATGTATGTGACGGCCACTAAATAATGATACTTAACTCTAAAATGAAAACAAAGTTAATCCATTGCATAATAAATAAAAATGCCAACATATAGCCAATATCCTATTATTTACCTGGACTTTTCTCGCACCCCCTGGAATATCGTCTCGCACCCCCAGGAGGTGCGAACACCCCAGGTTGGGAACCCCTGCCCTAGAAAGACAAACTTTTGAATTTCTTGCTAAATGTCCAGGAGGTAATTTAATATACCCTTTACCTACCCTGAAATAAAAGGGACAGTTGAGTAACCATGTGTGTGAGGTAAATTTAACAAATTCTTTTAAAGCTAAAACTAAAATGGAATGCAAGGCTGCATAAAACAGAAAATGTTTTGTTTTGACTGTAAAGCACTAAGTGTTCCAGCAAAATGGTTCAGACTGGTTTGGCACAAAAAAAATATGAGCCAATATGCATGTTCTAAGTTTCATTAAAACAAAACTTGAAACAAGATTTCAGTGTTTCACCCTAGAGCAAGAGTCTTCAAACTTGACAGCTTTAAGACTTGTGGACATCAACTCTCAGAATTCCTCCTCCAGTCATGTTAGCTCAGGAATTCTGGGAGTTGAAATCCACAAGTCTTAAACTTGCCAAGTTTGAAGACCCTTGCCCTAGGGACTTGCACACAGATCCAGACAGCCAGTATTGGCAGGATGCAGAAAACTCTACAGGTTGCTATCACCTAGCACTTTATCTGGAGCTTTGCTGCTCACATTTTCTAGCTCTAGCTTTCCTTGAACTCAGTAG